CTTCACATGGCAGTGTGTATTAATTAGAAATAAATGTTTCAATTTTGCAAATAGAAATCATTATTCATGTTCGTGGACATGGTAAGAAAATAAGTTTTCAATTATAGCCTAGCCAAATGGACCCATAAAACTAACCATCACAGTGCTGTTTAGCGTATTCCCTAGCCATGTGTAGTCCAATATGGCAGCCACTAGCTACTGAGTACTTGAAATGTAGCTAGTCTGAATTGAGGTATGCTGTAAGGATAAATTCACACCAAATTTAGAAGACATAAATATATGGTGATGGAAGGAGAACTGACTCTGGGTGGTGGGCTCACAATGTGATATACAGATGATGTATTACAGAATTGTCCACGTGAAACTTATGTAACTTTACTAACCATTGTCACCCCAATAAATTTAATTTAAAAAAAGAAATAAAAAGAATGTAAACTGTCTCATTTTTATATTGATTATATGTTGAAATAATAGTATTTTAGGTATGTTGGGTTAGATAAAATGTATTAATTACTAAAAACTAATGAAACCCAATATGTGTGAAAATTAGATTATAAGGAGACTGATTGAGTTATAAAATATTTTAAATGAAATTATTTGTCTGAAAATGCAAAAAAATTAATTTCTGGCTTGTGCTAAACCACAAACTGTCTTTTGAAATCAGAATGTTGTTTTTTTCTGAGATCATGGAGGTTCCTGCCAAGAGAGATCTGATTTGTAACAGGGTGGCTCAATATTTCTTTAGTGAGATATTTGACTGTCATGTTTTGTTATACTATAAATGATATGTAACCAAACAAGAAAATGTTCCTAGCAACAGAGTTGTTTTCCTCAACCAGAAGAATGTTTTTATGTGCTCATTTTATTAATGTCCAAAAAATAAAAAAAGCTTATAAATTTAGCACCTTATATTTTTGAGATTGAGATGCTGGCAAGTATAGATAATAGACTATAATATATAAGACTATCACTAGAAGTACTTGACAAACATTATGTTAAAGTAATTCAGACGTAAAATATATTTAACTAGAGAACCACATGGTTTTTATGACAGACCCAATTGTTGGATATGGTTATCTCACCTCCATAAGCCTCTTTTTAACTCTTCTTGTTCTTCATCAGTTACATACCCAAACTTTTTTTATACTCTTCAGGTCTCTAGCGTCTTATACCCCATTTCATTTGTTTATTCAACAAATGTTTGAATACTGTGTGTTAGGAAGTCCTAGGGATATTGTGCCATTAGGAAACTTTTGTATTAGTGAAGGATTCAAACATGACTAAAAGATTTACACGAATCAGGAAGTTCATGGCTGCTGTGCGTATGAATAGACGGTTCTTATCTAAATCAGAGGGCAGTGGACAGGGAAAAGCCTTGATCTAAAGGCATTTCGCCAGGCACAAATTGGGCTTGATCAGTCTCGAGTCAAGGGATACATTTTGCTAAGGTCTCACTCCAGGAAAGAGCTTGGCCAGTTGGAAGAGCAACAGCAAGAAGGCCTCTGAGAGGGGCTGTGTGTGTGTGTGTGTGTGTGTGTGTGTGTGTGTGTGTGTGTGAAAGTGGCTCTGGAGGGATAGAGTAAGGCACACAGGCACTGGGTCCGGTAGCTCTGTTCAGAACAATAAGTACACCTGGGTATTGATGATCCGTCAAGCAATACATATGGCCTTGGTCATATTCTATGGTCAAGTGGATATGGTCTCTAGGTAGGGTGACCAAACTTATCATCCAAACCAGGATACTGTAGAGAGTAAAAGGGAGCACTATTAATTACGCTGGGACAATGGGTATAACCAGTGTAATTTGGACAAGCCAGAAGGTATGATCCCCATGCTTAGAGACCAGTTCTCAACCACTCCAATAAGTTGCCTAGAAACCATGCTCTGAAATTACAGGGTTAGTCACATTTCCTGCTTTCTCACTTTTCCCCCTCCTTTACCCGTGGATAACTCAGACAAGGCCACTAGGAGAACCTGCACCAAGTCTAGACCAAGAATCACAGCCCCATTGCCCGCTTAACTGCAGCCTACTGCTTTTCAGATTGCCGTCTCATGAGAGCTCAGATCCTTGATGTACATCAGGTCTTACTGACGTGTTTTCAGAATTAAAGTCTTAAAAACATATAGGAAAGAAAGTAAGGTCTTAAACATTTAGCACATGAACTTTTCCCACTAGAAACTTTCCTACATTGTTTCTCATGGATGACATGACCTAATTATATGTTCCCAGATGGTGGCCAGGCAGAATGGGTGTGGTCCCATTATAACCTCTTTCAGAGTAAACATGTGTCGTGATTTGGCCCCTATGGTGGATGTTGCACTGAGTACCTACAGGAAGTATCTTCATAGGTGTCAGACCTTCCTTAACAATGACCATGGCATTATTAGTAAAGAAATCTTTTCACTACTGATTTGATTTTTTTTTATAGAATCAGCTGTTTGGCTGAATCTGTATGGTGAGAATTAATGGAGCTTTATTTCCTGCTCTCCTCTGTGCCTGTCACTCTCTACAGCAGGACCCTCTAGGAGCCTTAGTAATTCCTGAAGTTTACTGAGAAAATGGGTCACTTTGCATTATAATAACTTAATTTTTTAAAATTAAAATTTATTGGGGTGACAATGGTTAGTAAAATTACATGGGTTTCAAGTGTACAATTCTGTAATATGTCATCTATATATCACATTGTGTGTTCACCACCCAGAATCTAAAACTTAATGTTTATATTCAGCCAAATTCTGAGGACTGACACTTTGAGATGTTCCACTATTTCTTTAGAAGTTTCACTATTTCTTTTTAAACTGTACTAATATTCTTTTTTTTTTTTTTAGCTGAGCCATCCTGCTACCTATTGGCAGCTTAGCGGCTGCTCAGCTCGGGCTGGCCTCGAACCGCTGTTGCTCAGAGCTCAAACTCTTGAGCGAGCTCTTAACCAACTGAGCCATTCGGCCGGCCCACTGATATTCTTTTTTTACAAATCAGTTTTAGGTGTACAAAACAACATAGTGATTGGACATTTATATATCTCACAAAGATGATAACCCCAATAAGTCTATTATCTATCTGATACAATACATAGTTATTACAATATTGTTGACTATATTCCCTATGCTGTACTTTATATCTCCATGACTATTTTTTTTTAAGATTTTTATTGGGGAATTGGGGGGATGGGAACAGTGCTGGGGAATTGGGAGAAGGGGAACAGACAAGTTGCTGTCGTTTTGTTCTTCAGTCTAGTTGTGGAGGACGTTGCTTCACTGGCCCAAGTTGGCACCATCATTGCACTCTTCCCGGGCGAGGCAGATCAGTCGCCGGCTTCTGGACGGCCGCTCACTGCGGCTGCTGGCCGCTCACGCTGGCTGCTGGCTACACACGGTAGCCCATGGCAACCCACTGCCACAGGGGCTGCAGCCCATGCCTTCGCCGGCGACTCACAGCAGCCCAGCTCCAGGTTGAGCTGTTGTTCAGCATCTTAGCTGTGGAGGGCAGTGTCACTGGCCCTCATATGTGGGATCTGAACCGGGGCCCTCTGGCGTCCCAGGCCAGTTCTTAACCATCGCGCCACTCGGCCGGCCCTCCATGACTATTTTTTAATAGCTGACTTTCAATATTATTTTATATTAATTTCAGGTATACAGTGTAGTGGTTAGACATTTATATAATTTATGAAGTGATCTCCCTGATAAGTCTAGTACCCTATACATTATTATATACAATAATAGTCAATTATTATATTATTGACTATATTCACCATACTGTACTTTATATTGCCGTGACTCTTTTGTAACTACCAATTTGTACTTCCTAATCCCTTCACCTTTCTCACCCAGCCCCCTCAACCCCCCTCCCCTCTAGTAACCATCAGTTTGTTCTCTGTATCTATGGGTCTGTTTCTGTTTTGTTAGTTCGTTTATTTTGTTCTTTAGATTCCACATATAAGTGAGATCATATGGTATTTGTCTTTCTCAGTCTGACTTATTTCACTTAGCATAATACCCTCTAGGTTCATCCATGTTGTTGCAAATGGTAAGATTTCATTATTTTTTACGGCAGAGTAATATTCCATTATATATATGTACCACCTCTTCTTTAATCATCTATTGATGGGCATTTTGGTTTCCATATGTTGGCGATTGTAAATAATGCTGCATTGAACATAAGAATGCAGATATCTTTTTGAATTAGTGTTTTTTGATTTCTTTGGATAACTTCCCAGGAGTGGAATTGCTGGGTCACAAGGTAGTTCTATTTTTAAGTTTTTGAGGAACCTTTATACTGTTTTCCATAGTGGCTGCACCCATTTGCAATCCCACCAACAAGGGTTCCCTTTTCTCCACATCCTCACCAACACTTATTACTTATTGATTTATTGGTGATAGCCATTCTGACAGGTGGGAGGTGGTATCTCATTGTGGTTTTAATTTGCATTTCTCTGATGATTAGTGACGTTGAGCATCTTTTCATATGTCTATTGGCCATCTGTATGTCCTCTTTGGAGAAATGCCTACCCAGGTCCTCTGCCTATTTTTAAATTGGATTTTCTTTTGGTGTTGAGTTGTATGAGTTTTTTTATAGATTTTGGATATTAACCCCTTATCAAATGTATCATTGGCAAATACCTTCTCCCATTCAGTAGGTTGCCTCTGTGTTTTGTTGATGGTTTCCTTTGCTGTGCAAAAACTTTTTAGTTTGATGTAGTCCCACTTGTTTATTTTTTCTTTTGTTTCCCTTGCCCGGGAGGATATATCAGTAAAGATATTACTGAGTAAATCTCAGTAAAGATAAGGGTAATGTCTGAGAGTTTGCTTCCTATGTTTTCTTCTAGGAGTTTTATGGTTTAGGGTCTTACGTTTAAGTCTTTAATCCATTTTGAGTTTATTCTTGTGTATGGAGGAAGAAGGTGGTCCAGTTTCATTTTTTTGCATGTGTCTGTCCAGTTTTCCCAGCACCATTTATTGTACTAATATTGTACTAATATTCTTACTTTCTGTTTTACAAGCCAGGAAATGTGAAGAATTCACCTGGAAATAAGTAGAAAACTCCATGCTCTGCCTGTTTTAATCAGGTAAAGAACAGGAAAACTCTGTGGTTATTTTTAGCTTTGTTAGCACCAGCTGAAATGAATTGTCTTTAATTAATTTTATTTAATTCTAAACTAAGTCTAAAAATAATTAATTATAGAAGTTTCAACTTTATATGGAAACATAAAGGTCAGGATGATATTTCATTCCATCTTTAATTTCAGGGCTTAAATGCCATCCCTTATATAATTGTGTTTGTTCTTGAGATGTACCTGGGTTTTTCAGACAAGCTAAAACTTGACAGTTGTGATTTGTCTACAAACCTATTATAAACAATTGAAAAATGCCATTATTTCTTAGGTTTATTTTTTTTTCAAACATCACTGTAGTAAGCACATTTGTATTTGTCTAATAGTCATTCAGTAAGCATTTGTTGAAGGCATGACTGTTGTAGAGAAGCTCAAGATTATCATAAGTGACAGTAAATTCATAGGTCTAATTATTCTTTCTTTAAAGATTGAGTGACCAGAGGCTGGAGAAATTTAGGATGATATCACATGAAGTCAGAAAATCAGTTTGATTTCGTCTGATCTTTTACTCAATTCACCATTTATTTCCATTCACTTGTTTAATATTTACTCATTGAATACCTGCTAAGTGCAAAACACTAGTTATATTAATATTATTTTGTGTATGAAAAATTATATAATAGCATTTATGATTTCCTGATAATTAGATTATATTAAATTTAGAAACAATCTAAATATTCAGCTGTAGGAAAATGACTTAATCCTGGTATATCCATAAAGAGGAATGTTATTATGTATCAATATTTAATTGCCTGGGAACATGTACACAATTATTAAATGGAGGGGAAAAATGGGTAGTATGATGCATTTTTAGAGCAGGTAAAGACCAAGAAATACAGCAAAATATTTAAGTAGTACTCCCTTGTCCACAGCTTCACTTTCTGTGGTTTCTGTTACTTATGGTCAACCGTGGTCCAAAAATATTAAATGGAAAATTCCAGAAATAAACAATTTACGAGTTTTAAATTGCACGCTGTTCTGAGTAGTTTGATGAAATCTTGCACTGTCCTGCTCTGTACCGCCCAGGATGTGAATCATCCCTTTGCTCAGCGTATCCATGCTGTACCTATAGTATAAGACAATAAGATATTTTGAGAGACCACATTCACATAACTTTTATTACAGTATATGCTTATAATTGTTCTATTTTATTATTAGTTATTGTTGTTAATTTCTTACTGTGCCTAATTTATAAATGAAACTGTATCATATGAATGCATGTCTAGAAAAAGGCATAGTGTATATAGGGTTCGGTACTATCCACAGTTTCATGTATCCACTGGGGGTCTTGGAATGTACCCCCCATGGATAAGAGGGACTTCTGTATATATCTTGTCATGGTAGGATTATGGATGATTTTTATGTTTTTTCTTTTATATAACTTTCTGTATTTTAAAACTTTCCACAATGAATATGAATTTTCTTTTATAATACATTTTTTATATCAATGTTTCATTTATTATAAATCATGGCTGTTATTTAAAATTCATGAAAGCTTGGGTTTGAAGTTTTTTTTTTCTTTCTCAAGTTGTCTCCATATTTTTGGAGACCCAGAGAGTCATATAATCTTAGAATATGAAAGGGGTCATCTGGCCTAACTCCCAGCCTCAAACATAAATCCCAGAGATGTAAGTAAAATATGCCCATTGTGTTTGACCGATAGGTTTCTTAAGTCCCTTTTAAACTGTAATAGATCCTTCTCCCTCATTTTCCCCTTGCCATTTATTCATTGAAAGCCTGGGCTTGTTTGTCCTTTAGAATTTCCCATGTTGTGGTCATGTCTGAGTGCATCCATTTAGTGTCATTCTGTTTATGTGTTGGTTCCTCTCTTCCCTGCGTTTCCCATAAACTAATAGTTGGATCTGAAGGCTTAATCAGATTTAGGTTCAATTTTTTTGTAAGAGTACTTCATAGACAGTGCCATGTTTAGCTATGTTGAATTTGCTTTTTAAAAAATTTTTTACTTAATATATTGTGGACATCTTTCCTTGTTGGTACTAAAAGATCTATCTCATTCCCCCTTTAGCTGCATAATAATTTACTAGTAAAGACTACCGTGATCTATTGAATCCTAATTAAGTAATGTAGGTTGTTCCAGTTTGTAATTTTTCACAATGCAGTAAATCTATTGAATTCTTAGAGAAGTCTGAAACAGATTAATAAACTGAGACAGTAAAGGTAAGCTAGCAGTTGACGTATTTAAGAATTTTTTTTTCTTAAAAGATCAAATGACTAATCACTGGCCCCTAAAATATTTATAAACCTCTAATTACTAAGTAGATTCATTACCCAATAGGAAAAAAGTTATCTGGAGAAGAGCTGGTTTGTGTTGAAATTGCTGGGTGTCTCATTCCAGAAAAGAATGATGGGGTGATGTGAGGAAAGGTATACGTCAGACTGACAATGATACAATCATGTTCTCCTCCAGCAGATGGATGGAAATGTAGTTGTTTGGTTTTCAGAAGGGCTGAGATATGATATGTGCTGTGTCATTTAGGCATTTTTTATTTATTCATCCATCTGTCTGTTTAATTATGCTCAGATACACAGCCAGTTGAGAATCTGAATGTAGTATTGATGAAACACAAAACCTCCCTGGTTTTTAGTTTACCCATCTATGAAATGGGAATAATTGCACTTTTCTCTGGCTCCTTATGGTCGTCATGGTCATATAATGGTGATGTAAATATTTGATATGATTTCTCTATTTAAGCCTAAAGAATTTTCAAAGTGTAAAATTTTAGAGTCATTTTTATTTTTTTCTGGCACAGTTTACTTATATTTTTCTTTTTCTTTCAGTTATAGGTAAACATTGGAAACTCCATACAGTAAGCCAGTATTTCTACAACAAAATGGCAGAGAAGTCAGTATTGAATGTAATAAACTGGCTTTCTTCTTCAGGAACAACTATACTAGGCCTCTTTGTCATCTTGGATGATGCCATACCACAAGGGGACTAATCAGAAATCCTTTCACCTAGGGATAATGTACAAGCCTTAGAACTTCTTGTTCTTATGTTGCTATTTATGTACACAATTAAAATTCCAAGTTAAAAAAAAACTGTCTTCTTTTTTCTGATATTATGGAGCATACAGTTTAATCATATCTGGTGCTTGTGCGGCGTGTGTGTGTGTATGTGTGGTGTGTGTCTCTGAGTATATGTGTGTGTGTGTTTGTGTCTGAGTACATGTATGTACATGTGTGTCGTGTATGTGTGATGTATGTCTGAGTATGTATGGGGCATGTGTAGTATGTATGTGGTATGTCTGAGTGTGTGTGTATGTGAGTGGAGTGTATTGTGTGTGTCTGTGTGTGCGTGTGTGTGTAAACCATTTCCTCTGCTCAGGGCAGTATCAGCTGACAATCTGCAGAGTCTGTGCCCCACAACAGAATTGAGTCGAGAAGAGTGTCTCTGGAACTGAGAGACGATGCTTCGATAGGCAGCACAAGGAAAAAAACCTGTAAGTAATAGTCTGCCTGACACTGATTAGCAGACATACAAAAGAAAATGGTGACTGGGCCCCCTTGGGTGCGGTTGCCTCCCAGCTTGTACAGAGCATCCGGCTCTTGAATGCCAGTGGGAGAGGCATAATGAAGGAGGCTCTGTCCTCTGCCGGTGGAGGAATGCTGTGTGGTTGTGTGTGTTGGTTCTCTGGATGTAGGCCTTGTATTCACCTTTGTGGTCCCTGCACACACCGCTCATTGAATTCCGTATTCCCGGGAACAGCAGGGGCCCCTTTCGATTTGTCAGCCAGCCAGGAGAGATGGTGGGAGAATAGTATGTGAAAGAGAATTGAGAATGTCCAAATTTCAGTCCGATTTGGAAATTAAAAGTCATCTTTGTATTAATAGAGCATCAATTTAATTCCTGATTGTTGACCTTCCAAAATTGATAACAGTTGGTAAGATAGCAATACACAAATGGAACATGCACATGTTAGTGTTAAATACATTTGATAGGTTCAAAATGGCAGGAATGGTGCCGGCATTGTTACTGGGCTAATGAGCTGAAGCAAATTTGTCCCGAGAATAAACCCACTAGTGACCCAGAAGTCTTATTTCCTTTTATGCTGAAATGCTTTTGCATTACTGTACCAATCATTTAAATATATTAAAGCTGTACCTAAATTCTAATATCATCATAAATATACTATTATTATTTCAGGCCTTTCCCATTGGCTTAGCTTCCTACATCACCTCAAGCAAGTAGAGGTTCCACAAGTTTCCTCATTCTTGAAATTGCTTGATCTAGACAAGACGAAGATATGACCCACACCACAGCATGCTCTGGGGATCATTAATCAAAAGGTATTTGAATGCCTCCTAACTAGAAGCTATTACTTCCCCTTTTTATCCCTTTATCCAATATTGAAACATTGCCTTTAAACATCTTAACTCCTCCTAGCCGGGGGGATGCTGAGGTGGGGGTGGGAGTCACAGAGTCGGCTCCTAGTGACACCTGGCCTGTATTTAGGACAGTAGGGGACTCACCTCCCAGCCAGGGTAACTCAGTTGCCCTTTACACTATGATCTTTTCCTTTTGCGGTTGTTTGTATCCAGTGCTGCCATCTTTTTAGACTTAACTCTTTTTGCATGTCTTCTATGAATCCCAAACTTTAGGGAATATACAATTTACATATCATAATATCTTGCATTTCTACAGCTCTTTATACTATTCAAAGTGTTATTTTATTATGTCTTTCCTTCCTTGGCTTATTCCTGACCTCGGTATGCTAGTACTGTTTTTCTCTGTCCTAAGGTAATACTTTCCACTTAACATTTACACTTTTTATTGTTTCTTAAGACCTTTTGTCCTTCTAATAAAGCTATGAATCTCAGCCCAGTTTCTATGTAACCTGATCAGCATAGTTCTATTTGAATAACTTTCGGGACTTTGGCGGGAATGTTCTCTGCCATGCAGAGTGATTGCAACTCCCCTGAAGAGACAAGTGCGGTGTGCTGTGTTCTCTGATACTGTGGTAGTTGGTTAGAGTCCTAAGGTCATTTTTGTCAAAAATCAAGATTCAAAAGCAGTTGCTTCAGAAGGAAAAAAGGGACTAGGAGCACTAAAGAATGTCTTTATCAATCTTATCACCTGTGTCACCCCTTGGGACAGAATCAAAACGGTAGTGGTAGATAGAAGCATTGAGGCCAGCCGAGGGGCCACTCACCCGGGCAGTGAGTAGCAGGTGCCTGGGCCACTGGGTCAACAATTTTGTCCTAAGTGCAGTGCTGGACCCCAGCCCAGTCATGGCTCATGAAATGCAAAGCACTTCCCTAATGGATCAATGACATTCATTCTATGCAAATGGCCTAAAGAAAATTAAAAATATGGGAAAGTGTGGCTTGCTTGTGGTTAACTATCAGATCAGTGACAGTTAAAATTAGGCCATGTAGATGGACGGTGTAGAGGCCTGACCACTGCACTGTACATCTGAAGCTGCCGTTGAATAATATTATATGTCAAATATAATTTAATATATATATAGTCACGGGATGTGGAGTATAGTGTGGGAATGGAGTCAATGGAATTTTAATAGATATGCATGATATCGGGAGTGGGGGCAGTGGATTGGGGATGGGGGGTTGTCACTCTGTGAGGGGTGAAAAGGATAACTATTGCATTGTTTTGTACATCTGAAACTAATAATAAAATAAAAATAAAATAAATGAAAAAAATTAGGCCATGTAGAGAATATTACTGATTAAAGGTAAATTTTTACCTTTGATTAAAGGTAAAATTCAGAATCCTTGAATTCAGCAAGAAGAGATAGATTCTGTGCTCCTCATTGTCCTATTTTAATGAATGCACTTTGTACTGGTCTTTTGCAGAAGGCTTGATATTTAGAGAAACATTTCTTTGTGACTAGCAGTATTCATGCTTATTATGTAAGCTGAATAATTTACCCCGAGTGTAAAACTTTTCACTTTTTAATTCAGTGCACCTTCCAGTCTAATGCAAAAACCACAGAGGGACCAGCAATATATGACAAATATACTAAACTCTCATCCAAGGTTTAATTTTAATTAAAGGTAAATATTTGGAATAATGGCTTTGTTCACCACTGGTTGAAAGAAAGCGGCTTGAGGTTTTGGTTTTCACCCTGTACACCTCCTGTCTGATATTTCGTTTCCCTTCTGATAGGTTCAAATTTCAAGTCAGTAATTAGCCAGCACATAGTTCTAAAGGTACAATTAGGTCAAACTCCAGACATGACCGAAGTTCAAGTTTATTTATGTTTATGAAATGATAGCAAGGAAATTTCTGGGTGGAGAAAAAGTTTGCTTTTCTAAGGCAAGTGTTTGGCTATTTCACATTTTGTTTACTTAGCAGTGCTGAATGAGCCGAGGTATTTCACATTTCAGGGTCTTTATCTTCTCCATCAACTCTAGAGCTTTGTTTTTGGCCTTTAGCTGTGGCTCTGGAGGGCAAAAGAATAGCGAAGGAAGTGACTCTTCTCCCTGTCTGCCTCCAACCTGTGAAATAGTCTTCAGACTCAGTATTCACAGAGTCATTCTGTAAACTCTCCTCTCAGGTACACCTTGGGAGACTGTCCCTTCAGTGCTGGCCTTCTTGGGAATGGACAGGACAGATGGGAGAAAAAGGAGAAGTTAAACATGGAGAGAAATACAGGATTCAAAGACTGCTCCCCACACTCAAAAATGAAGACACAGTGAGTCCTTCCAGTGCTTAGATGGCACAGTACTGGGATTTTGCTAGTAACCCCAAATTTGAGTCTGGTTGGAGGAATGATTTAAAATGTTTTATTCACTACAGGGAAAGTAGTCAGCTTTTAAGTATTAGCCGTGCAATTTATCTTCCATGTCTCTTCTAAATTATGAGAAAATGGCCTTTGGGTAATGATAGTGTCAGAATATGGACATCAATTCTTCCTCAAACCACAGGAAGACAAGAGGAAAGGGATTCTGAAGGTGGCGTTAGCATACAAAGTGTGGATAGGAACAGGGAGACAACATAAATCATCTGTTTTTTGCAACAGACTTAGTGAAACTGGTTGATTCTTGAAATCCTGTGCCCGTATAACTGACACAAATAAAAATAACAAAAACATCTAAAAACAAATTATTGGGGCAGCCAGTTAGCTCAGTTGATTAGAGTGCAGTGCTCATAACACCAAGGTTGCCGGTTCAATCCCCACATGGGCCACTGAGCTGCACCCTCCACAACTAGATTGAAACAACCACTTGACTTGGAGCTGATGGGTCCTGGAAATACACAGTGTTCCCCAATAATCCCCCCAAAAAAAAATTCTAAGAAAAGCAAGGAACTTAAAAGTCTCATTTACTTTGTAAACTTTGGTTCCATGTGTCAAATGGGGCACCTCCTCTAATGAATGCAATATGATACATTTCTCCGAATTTTTTTCAAGTTTTAGGTTATGGTGTGTCTTTGTATCTCTGGCATTTGGGAGATCATACCTCCGATTCATTTTCTGAATCCTCCATCAGGAAGGCAACCCTCAATTACAACGTTGCTCAAGAGAGAGGCTGTGATCTTTTGGGGGCCCTGTTCCCTGGGATTGGAAGTCTGGTTGTTTCCAGGAAGAAAAGCAGAGACTGCTTAATGCATTGCTAGCCTCACATAAGCCTTTCAGAACCAGAAGTGGCCATGGTGCTCCCAGGGCCCTTCCTGCTTCACGCACCCCACTTGTCTCTGTTGGTGAGGGTGTGGAATAAATTGTGTGTCCTTTCTGCGCCTCCCTTTATCGCTCCAAGCAAACGTGGCACTGTTTTCCACTCCACACTTTGTGTTACTGGCTCTTTGTGCTTCCTTTGACCTAAAGATGCTTAAGTTATTACTAATAGATTTCTTTGTGTGATTGCTGTTTTCCCCTTGGGACAACTTCTGTTCTTGGTACTCCTTTCTCTGCCAATGTGAAATTTAGGAAAAGCTTGCACCTTTGAAAAACCTTTCTACCTTGTTTGTATGCCTGTGGAATTCACCATGATTCTTACATTTCTGAAGAACTGAATTTCGAGACATGAAAACTTTTTCTCTCTGACTCCTGGATCACTTTCTAGATTTATGGCCTCATGCATGTTCTACCCTTGTTAGTTGACACGTGATCACTAGTAGACTGTAGTCTCCTGAGGCCAGGGCAAGTATCTTTCTTCTTAGTATATCCACGGAGTCGACCTAATGCACTGATGTATACATTGCAAAATGTGTGCTGAATGAATTCTTTAAAGTTCAAAATTGCATAACAATTTGGTTTCAGTCGAGCCTTTGAGGGTACCCATAGGCATCAAATTTGTTCGATTGCCAGCAACCTGAGAGCGTCTGTCCCTGTGTTTCTGACTTCCAAATCTTAAAAACAGAGGCGGTTGGGCTAGGTACTCATAAAGGCCTTCGATCTGTGACTTTTCCCCCTTCGATTTATTAAGCACCCATTAAATGCACTGTCTAGATATTCTGTTATAGTGGGCATGGGGGCCGGTGGTGGGGGGAATATAGTTTACAATTCAGATGTGAAGAGAAAGCAAGTACGCAAAACAATCAGAATAATGACAAGCGCAGCAGCATCATAGCGTATACATTAACTATCTGATCGTGATTCCAATATTGGTCTTGTGCAAAGAAGCACCCAAGGATATTTATCTAAAACACGAATATAATGTTTTGGTTTAGGCAATGGTTTTCCGTCTTTTGTGTATGCTAACTTTTTTAGAGAGGGAAGGAGAGTAATCCAAGGAAACAGGCCTAGTCAAACAGGGGATATTGGCTTTGGATGGATGATGTTGCTTTTACTGAGTTGGGACCTAACTCACGCTTTCTTTATGTGATCCCTATTTCCACCTTGGAATGCCTTCTGTCCCCAGCAAGTCCAGCAAGAGTAAGCCCAGGGTTGGGCTTTTGGGGCCCCCTTGCTGTATTCCTCTAGCTCATTCCTTAATGTTATTACCTATAGACAAGATTTAATGTCTTATTAGTTTCCAGTATGAATAGGAATTGAAACACCTGGCTAAGAGTAGTACCGGTTGAGATCCTGCAGGCCCTGCTTTGATGAATAGATATGTTTAATTTAAAATTAATGTTCATTTGCATCGTAAGATATGGCACTGTCCTTTAAAAATCTCTTAGCAGCTTAAATATGCCACCATGTAATATTTACTGTTGTAATATACTTATTTTTTATTCATAGACAGGATAAACTTCAACCCACTGAAATAATGACAAATTCAGACGATTACTAGACACCAACTTTGAATGTTTCCTTAAGTAAAGTTCAAACTAGAGCTTGAGTGAGTGCCATGGCCTCTGCAGAAGAGAGTTCACGTAGCAGGTCACATAGATTGTGCAAATGATGTAATTTACGGCAAATACCTGATTTCTGCCTGGGAATCCGGCATTTTGGTAATTGCTAGGCAGGGGCTGCCTGTGTGAGCAGCCCCCAGTAAAAACCGTGGGTGCTGAATCTCTAATGGGCTTCTCTAGGCAGAAGCATTGCAAACATGTGGGTGCGTGTTTTTCTGTTGGAGAAACGAACATAATGTGAATGTGTCCCCTCCTAAGTTGGGAGGGAGAGAGCCTACAAAGCCTGTGCATGGATTTTTTTCAGACTCCACTTATGTTTTTTCTCTCGCTGGTCTTGTCATGTACCCTTTGCTGTAATAAACCTAAGCCATGAGTACAACTATATGCCGAGTCCTATGAATCATTTTAGCAAATCGCCAAATGTGTGGGTAACGTTGGGGATCCCCCCAAAATAGCACGTTGAGACAGTATTTGTTTTATTTATGTTATGCCATCTTCCCCTCAGCTTTAGAGGAAAAACATAAACACAAAGACTGTTATATTTACATTAAATATTTCCAGGTCACAAGACATTAAAAAACAGTTTTTATTCATCTTCCTCAAGCAAAGAGAAAGTAGTTTTTGAAAGCCACAGAAAACTCTAAGCTCCCTTGTTTAGACCAAATTAGTGATTGGTTTCTGGGTTTTTTTTTTCTGATTCTCACAATAGAGTCTTTCTTCGTTCCCTCACGCTATGGAGGCAAGCTGTTTGGGCTGGTTCATAAGTAAATAGGTCATAAACTGCACTCCATTCAAAAGTGACGTACTTATGAAAGCATTTATTTGTCCTACAGAGAGAGCACTGGCTCATTTCAAATATTGTTCTCAGCCTAGATCAGAAAGCTAAAGAGCACACATTGCACATTTTGTTTTAAACACAATAGTCTGATTGTTTGTTTTTTGATGGTGCCATAACTGTGTCCCTGGGAAAGCACTACCAAATAGTTAAGACTTTTAGAAGACTGTATGAAACCATAGACCTAAATATAACAACTCAAACTAATGTAGAACTCTCAGAAGACAACATAGGAGTCAATCTTGGTAAAGAAGTGAATCGTGACCTTGGATTGGGCAATGGTTTCTTAGATACAACACCAAAAGCACAAGTCATAGAATAGAGAAGTTGGGCTACCTCAAAAATTTAAAACTTCTGCGCTGTAAACAATGCTATCAAAAAAATTAAAAGACAACCCAGTGAGTATGGGAAATATTTACAAGTCATACGTCTGATAAGAGACTGTACCCTGACGTTTTACAGCTCAACAATAAGAAGACAAGTAAGCCAATTAAAACTGGGCAAAGGATTTGAACAGACCTTTTTTCCAAAAATGTTTTCCAACTTATACAAATGGCCGATAAACACATGAAAAAGATGTTCAACATCATTAGTCATTAGGGCAATGCAAATGAAAACCACAATGAGATACCACTTCACACCTACTAGGATGGCTATAATAAAAAAGACAAACAGTAACAAATTTTGAAGTGGACGTGGAGAAAACAGTCCTGCAGTTCCTCAGATTTGTTAAGCATAGAGTTATGATGTGACCCAGAAATTCCAATCCTAGGTATAGACCCAAGAGAAATGAAAACATGGTCTGCACAAAAACTTGTACACAAATGTCCATTGCATAATTGTTCATAACAGCCAAACAAAAGAAACAACTAAATGTCCATGAACAGATGAATGGATAGACAATGTATTTTTTTTTAGATTTTTTTTATTGGGGAATTGGGGGGATGGAAACAGTGCTGGGGAATTGGGGGAAGGGGAGCAGACAAGTTGCTGTCGTTTTGTTCTTCATTCTAGTTGTGGGGGACGTTGCTTCACTGGCCCAAGTTGGCACCATCATTACGCTCTTCCCGGGCGAGGCAGATCAGTTGCCGGCTTCTGGACGGCCGCTCACGCTGGCTGCTGGCTACACACGGTAGCCCATGGCAACCCACTGCCACGGGCTGCAGCCTACACCATCGCCGGCGACTCATGGCAGCCCAGCTCCAGGTTGAGCTGTTGTTCAGCATCTTAGCTGTAGAGGGCAGTGTCACTGGCCCTCATATGTGGGATCCGAACCGGGGCCCTCTGGCATCCCAAGCCAGTTCTTAACCATCGCGCCACTCGGCCGGCCCTAGACAATGTATTTTTATACACTGGAATGTTATTCAGCCAAAAGAAGGAATGAAGTACTGATACTTGCCAAACTGATGACACTTGAAAACATTATACTAAGTGAAAGAAGCCAGTCACGTACTGCATTGTAAGACCACATAGTGTATGATTCCATTTATTTAAAATGTCCAGAATAGGCAAATCCATAGAGATAGAAAGTCAATTAGTGGTCACTTAAGACTCTGGAGGGT